TCATTTCATTCATTTCATTTCATTTCATTCATTTCATTTCATTCCATTTCATTTCATGTCATGTCATTCATTTCATTTCATTTCATTTCATTTCGTTTCATTTCATTTCATTTCATTTCATTCATTTCATTCATTTCATTCATTTCATTCATTTCATTCCATTTCATTCCATTTCATTCCATTCATTCCATTCATTCCATTCATTCCATTCATTCCATTCATTGCATTCATTCCATTCATTTCATTCATTTCATTCATTTCATTCATTTCATTCATTTCATTCATTTCATTCATTTCATTCATTTCATTCATTTCATTCATTTCATTCATTTCATTTCATTTCATTTCATTTCATTTCTTTCATTCATTTCGTTTCATTTCATTTCATTTCATTTCATGTCATGTCATTTCATTTCATTTCATGTCATGTCATTTCATGTCATGTCATGTCATGTCATGTCATTTCATTTCATTCATTTCATTCATTTCATTCATTTCATTCATTTCATTCATTTCATTCATTTCATTCATTTCATTCATTTCATTTCATTTCATTTCATTCATTCATTCATTCATTCTTTCCTTCATACATTCCTTCCTTCATTCATCAATTCATTCCATTCGTTCATTCCTTCCTTCCTCCCTTCGTTCATTCCTTCCTTCCTTTCATTCGTTCACTCATTCATTCATTCATTCATTTATTCATTCATTCATTCATTCACCAATTCATTCATTCCTTCATTCATTCCTTCATTCATTCCTTCCATTCGTTCATTCCTTCCTTCCTTCCTTCCTTCATTCTTTCCTTCCTTTCATTCGTTCCTTCCTTCATTCATTCATTCACTTATTCATTCGTTCATTCATTCATTCAATCACTCATTCATCCATTCATTCATCTTTTCATCTTTTCAATCATTCATACATTCCTTCCTTCATTCATTCATTCATTCATTCCATTCGTTCATTACTTCCTTCCTCCCTTCGTTCCTTCCTTCCTTTTATTCGTTCTCTCATTCATTGAGAAGAGGCGCGCCACCGCCCACGGGACAACGGGACAACGGGACAACGGGACAACGGGACAACGGGACACCGGGCCAACGGGACAACGGGACAACGGGACACCGGGCCAACGGGACAACGGGACAACGGGACACCGGGCCAACGGGACACCGGGCCAACGGGACACCGGGCCAACGGGACGCCGGGAAACGGCCAAGCCAACCGGGAGAGCCAACGGGACAATGGCCGCGGGGCGGGAAAACTCCAAGGGAAACACGCATGGGATCAACAAGCGCGCCAGCCAAGCAACAAAACTTGACGACGGATGGCCCGAGAGCGTAGAAGAGCATGTTACTCTGTTGCAAAGATGCGGATGATCAGCAGAAAGGAGATTGAAATCCCATGTCAGATTTTAAGCAGAAGTAGACAAAGATAGACACAAAATGTAAGAGACCGACAGAAACAGACAGCAAAGAAACACATACACACACAGACGCACAAACAAAGACACAGACACAAACGCACACACACACACGGTACACAGACAGACACCACACGCACACAACACATACAAACAGAACATACGGTAAAGAGGAAGACACATACACGCGCACACACACACAGGCACAGACATACACGCACACAAAGACGAAGACTCGCGCACGCACACACACACAGTCTCCGCGGAAGTGGCAGATGCTTTTACACACAGACGCTTTTACACACAGAAGCATTTACACACAGACGCTTTACACGCAGACGCCTTACACGCTTTTTACACACAGAAGCTTTTACACACAGAAGCTTTTTACACACAGGCACTTTTACACACAGAACCTTTTACACACAGAAGCTTTTTACACGCAGACGCTTTTGCACACAGAAGCTTTTACACACAGGAGCTTTTACACAAAGAAGCTTTTGCACACAGAAGCTTTTACACACAGGAGCTTTTACACACAGACGCTTTTACACACACAAGTGATTGCACACAGACGCTTTTACACACAGAAGCATTTGATTACACACAGACGCTTTTACCCAAAGAAGATTCTACACACAGAAGTTTTTAGACAAAGACGCTTTTACACACAGAACCTTTTACACACAGAAGCTTTTTACACGCAGACGCTTTTGCACACAGAAGCCTGTACACACAGGAGCTTTTACACACAGCTTCTTTTTACAGACAGGCACCTTTACACTTTACACACAGAAGCTTTTACCCAAAGAAGGTTCTACACACGGAAGCTTTTACACACAGACGCTTTTACACACAGGAGCTTTTACACACAGAAGCTTTTACACGCAGAAGCTTTTACACACAGAACCTGTTACACACAGAAGCTTTTACACACAGAAGCTTTTTACACGCAGACGCTTTTACACACAGACACTTTTACCCACAGAAGATTTTACACGCAGAAGCTTTTACACACCGACGCTCTTACACGCAGAAGCTTTTACACACAGAAGCTTTTTACACGTAGACGCTTTTACACACAGACACTTTTACCCAAAGAAGATTCTACACACAGAAGCTTTTACACACCGTTGCTTTTACAAGCAGAAGCTTTTACACACAGAAGCTTTTTACACACAGACACTTTTACACACAGACACTTTTACCCACAGAAGATTCTACACACAGAAGCTTTTACCCACAGAAGATTCTACACACAGAAGCTTTTACACACAGAAGCTTGTACACAAAGAAGCTTTTACACACAGAAGCTTTTACACACAGAAGTTTTTTACGCACAGACACTTTTACACACAGGAGCTTTTACACAGACGCTTTTCACACGCAGACGCTTTTGCACACAGAAGCCTGTACACACAAAAACTTTTACACGCAGAAGCTTTTACACACAGAAGCTTTTGACACTTTTACCCACAGAAGATTCTACACACAGAAGCTTTTACACAAAGACGCTTTTACACACAGACGCTTTTACACACAGACGCTTTTACACACAGAAGCTTTTCACACGCAGACGCTTTTGCACACAGGAGCCTTTACACACAGGAGCTTTTACACACAGAAGCTTTTGCACACAGAAGCTTTTACACACAGGAGCTTTTACACACAGAAGCTTTTTTTACACAGACGCTTTTACACACAGACACTGTTACCCACAGAAGCTTTTACACACAGAAGCTTTTACACACAGACGCTTTTGCAGACACAAGTTATTGCACACAGAAGCTTTTTACACGCAGACGCTTTTGCACACAGAAGCGTTTACACACAGGAACTTTTACACAAAGAAACTTTTACACACAGAAGCTTTTTACACACAGGAGCTTTTACACAGAAGCTTTTACACACAGCGCTTTTACACACAGAAGCCTGTACACACAAAAATTTTTACACGCAGAAGCTTTTACACACAGAAGCTTTTGACACTTTTACCCACAGAAGATTCTACACACAGAAGCTTTTCACACGCAGACGCTTTTGCACACAGGAGCCTTTACACACAGGAGCTTTTACACACAGAAGCTTTTGCACACAGAAGCTTTTACACGCAGAAGCTTTTACACACAGAACCTGTTACCCACAGAAGCTTTTACACACAGAAGCTTTTTACACGCAGACGCTTTTACACACAGACACTTTTACCCACAGAAGATTGACGCTTTTACACACAGGAACTTTTACACGCAGACACTTTTACACACAGACACTTTTACACACGGACACTTTTACCCACAGAAGCTTTTACACACAGAACCTTTTACACACAGAAGCTTTTACACGCAGAAGCTTTTACACACAGAAGCTTTTACACACAGACGCTTTTGCACACACAAGTTATTGCACACAGAAGCTTTTTACACGCAGAGGCTTTTGCACACAGAAGCGCTTACACACAGGAACTTTTACACAAAGAAGCTTTTGCACACAGAAGCTTTTACACACAGGAGCTTTTACACACAGACACTTTTACACAGACTTTTCTACACACAGAAGTACCATTTTACCCCAGTTTTGGACGATCAAACCTCATTTCGTGCGAAAGGGTTGCGCCGGACGCGTGCAAATCGCAATTTTACCACAGTTTTTGGCTATCGAACCTCATTTTTACCAAAATGCCTTCGAAATGCAAAGGTTTTTGAAGCTGCAGCTCTCTGACTGCCAACGGGAACGGCCAACGGGACAACGGGACAACGGGAACGGGACAACGGGACAACGGGAACGGGACAACGGGACAACGGGAACGGGACAACGGGACGGGCAGTACCGAACCCATCCTCCATTCATTTCTTCATTTCTTCATTCTTTCATTCTTTCATTCTTTCATTCTTTCATTCTTTCATTCTTTCATTCATTCATTCATTTTTTGAATTCACTTCTTTCCAACTCACCAAGAAATCCTATAAGCAAACTGTTTCCTATAGCCTATAGTCATGTCGTATTTTCAGAACTTCCGCCCTTGCGTGCCGGGCACTACCAGGTAGACCAGTCTGACAAATCCAAGATGTCTGCAATACCGCATGGACATGTCGATATGGATAACGGTTGTATAATGTCGTATACAGCCATATCTGAGGGAGAACGAAAAGTAATGCAAAAAAACATGGCCAAACATGTACGAACGAGCAACTTTCTTCATAATATGGTTTTCCGGACGTACAGAAGTTTTATAGGTGCGTGCTTGTTACAAGCATGCATCATGTGCATCATGTGCATCCATGTGGTCGAATGTGAACGTTTCAGCAGGTTGGGTTCGTGATAGTTCGTGCTCATAAATCTGAAGCATTTTGTTGTGTCTCTGCGCTGCTCCGTGGTCATCTCTGATCGCTGTAGTCTACACTTGGAGATGGAAATGCTGCAAGAAATAGCCTTTCCCCCTACAGAACTTTTTGTTTTAGGGACAGGATCGACATGTACGAGGCCGTTAGTCCTGCGCTTTTGGGTTGCATATTTCTGCAGGTGCATTCCCACGAAACGCATGACTGATGTGTGGCACGTGAAGCATCGGTAAAGCTTCTGGCCTTGAGGAACAGCGGCATATCGTCCAATTTCAGCTTTGAGGTTTCACTTTTCTCCTCCATAATGCTCCGCATTCCCTTTGATGCGGAAATCAAGTGCCTGGCTACACTGGCCGATTGCTAGACAAACAAACCTCCATCAGTCCTGTGTTGCCCTTAGCATCCCCTAACAGTGTAATGACATGTATTGATTGTAATGCACATGTCTATTCAGCGACGCGATGCCTCAACAGCTTTCGGCGATCAGGAAGATCGGTCGGAAGATTCATGAGGATGACGACCTGCAAGGATTTTCCAATAATTCCCCGCATTGTGCCCTTCCCTCGACGGCTTCTGAGCAAGTCCCGAGATCCCCAACGCGCTCGAGCCCGGGCAAAATACTGTTTATCTCGACACTCTTACCTCAAATGGAAAAAAGATGAAAAAAGTGTGAAAACACGTGAACTGCTCCTTACTGCAACTTCTGCCCAATGTCATGTCCTGTCTAGTATGGCCATTGCAAGGTATTGCAATCTTGTCCCGAGGATGTGGCTGCAAATCAAACTCCATGTCACATTGATTTGCGTGAACAAGGTGATGTCTGCCAGGAAGATACCCATCCTGCGCAGGAATGGAATAACTTGTGATACCTTGGGATCGCCTGCACACATCCACTTTCTCAATGTTGGCTCATGTTGATGCAATTTATGGCCTCATCTTTCCGTCTATGACCTCAAGCCCGCCGACGAGCGTGTACCTTAATCAATTGGACCCTGACATACCCTGACAACCCCAACAGAACCGACGCCATGGCACTGGAATGTGGAATGACTGAGGCACCAGCGCTGCCAGCATCACGAGCCCCATCCAGTTTGCAAAGTACATGTTATTCTTCATGACTTGAAGGGTGTTTATCAACGAGCCATTGAAGGCTGCGATCCCCTTCTCGAACTGGTCAATGGCTTTCGCCACTCCACCAAGGTTCCGAATGATGGTGTTGTTCAGTGTGACCTGTGACGTGCGAGTTGCAGGAGCATGCATGACACCATATGACACCATTATCGGATAAACATTGCATCAACGTGACAACAAATCTTGGCAGCTGGCACTCTGCATCTGGCTGACCAAGGAAGCTCGTTCAGCATTTTCGGCTTGCTGAACGTGAATTGTAGTTTTGCGACCTTGGCCAAAGCCCTCTCCAAACAAATCAAACAGTCAGAAGTTACAGGCACAGAAAGTCAATTATGATTGTGACATATTGTAAGATATTGTAAGTATATCCCTATCCGCCCTATCCTATCCAAATCATGGCCAAGTTTGTCCCAAGTTGTCCATTCCGGAGGCTCAGGTCAGCCGAGCGTCGGCAAATGCCAAAAAGAGCCAGGACTGTGGGATGTACTGCGAGTGGAGCGATGCTCCATGGGCTGATGGGCTCTTGGAGAATCAGCCGGGAAATGATCTGGTACGCTAAGACCTTAGCTGAGTTCAGCTGAGTTCAACTGTTCTTCTTGATAGGTTCTTCATGGTTCTTCAATTATTTGTTTCTCACTGTTTACACCTTGCCGTTTGCTGAGTTCTGAGTATGGGACAGTTGCGAGATTTTGTAAATGGGATATGATTTCCAGGACTCCCATATAACCATTCTGCACGATATCTTCGACGTCCTCTCGCAAATCTGATGGCTCTGGTCGTGGAATCCAAACCTTCCGCCTGCCCCTGTTAGCCAGTGCTGGTTTTAAACTGACTCATTCGGTCCTTTGTCATGGCCATAATCTCTGCACCTTGCTTGATGTCAATCCTCGCGCAGACTTTGCAACTTGTTTCCGTGTTTGCGCACTCTTCCCGAAAAGAGCACCGCCAATGAAGTGCGATACCCTCACTAGCTTTTTGGATTTAATTGAACATGAATAAATTCGTTCGTTTTAGGCAGAATGAATGCGCTAGCACAACTTTGGAGTCCTGGAGGACACATCATAGTGTAAAAGCCTTCGCACGAGCGCAGAAAGCAGCTGCGCTCGCGATGCCCCACCTTGGAACATTCTCAATGGATCTCAATGGCATCAGAAAATGTCGATCTTCACTCTGAGGCTTTTGCCTACTCTCCATGTCAGGGAGATGTAGTCGAGGTAGTGGAGGACTGCAAAAGGCAGCAGCATGCCGCACATCACTGCCACCAGCATTCCCGGACCTGTCGCAAGAAAGAAACGACAGGCTCCAAGCATGGACAGCTCAAACCGTAACAAACAACTACATGATCCTGCAATATCCTGCATCACCTGTAGACTCAAAGGATTCTTGCGCTGCGATGCCAAAGGAGCTCTCTGCAAGAATCTAAGCAACCAGCGGCTATGCAGAAACTCTACCACTGACTGCGGGGGATCAGGAGAAAGCTCTTCCCCGCTCTTGAAGACTTTGTCGACGAGCAACACGCTCAGAAACAGCCTTTGTTGCACACCAGTGTGGGTGACGAGACAATGACCGATTCCAGGTTGGAGATGTGATCAATTTCGCTCATCTGTTATGCAACAATATCCACCGCCGGCCTCAAAATTCCATACAAGTGATGGCACTCTGCAGCCATCAACATCTTAATCGTACCTCAACAGGTTCAGCTTTCAGACGGCAAGAATCTCTAGAAAAATACCGCACCTCTGCGAACGGTGTCATTGCGAAAGTTGAGCTTCAAGTACTCCCCCATCAGAATCAACAGTGGTGCGTTTTCAAGTGCTTGCCTGGCTTCCAAACACACATTGGAGATCATTGGAGTCGGCCAAAGTGGAGAAGCAAACTTGATTGCCATTCCGATTCCTTGCCTGAAGTGCTCCCACGACAAACTCTTCGCAAGCTTCCGCACATCGACAACGTTCGAGGGAAAAGCGTCCTTTACAAAGTGGGAGTCGACATTTAACACACAACAGCAATCTAAGAAGGAAGTCGAAACTGAGTGAAAGTAGGCACAATTTTGCCCTTGTTCCAGGAGTCCTTGTCGTCTATCTTCACTCGTGCCGATCTTCCATACGCATCCAGTTCAGCATTGGAAGTGGTGGACGGGTCAAGAATTACCTGCACGTTTGGTGTGGTACACTCATCCTTCAATTTCAATTCTGTTAGGTTTTCTTCTACGTCTTGAATCTGCATTCATATAATTTCATATCTTCCATGGTCTTTCTTTCTTTCCTCTCTGCTATCATATTTCTCTTGGAGTTCCGACGCACTGGCTGGGCAAAGGCATGATCGCGACTGATTTCCTGTCCTGCCTCGAACTCTAGAGTTGGAGACCACTCGTCGCTGGCCTCAAGGCCAAAACTCTCTGAGTGCTAGAACAACAAGGTCTGAAGTCACACTCAAAAGATGCAACAAAAGCAACAAAATAGCAAAAAAGCAACTCAAACTGATGTCTTCTAGGCAATCGGCTATCAGGTCAATGCTCACAGTGACGGAATCCGTGCCGGGTTTGAAAACCAACCTGGCGTTGGAAAAGGATGGAGAAGGGCTGCCAACGACTGCGAACCGTGAAGCCCATCCTTTCACACGTGAATCAAGTCCTTCGTCAGAAACTTCTTAGGTGATCTCCCGCTCAGGTCGGTGCATCTTCCGTTGTTCGACGTAATTTACATTGGCCTCGCAATAAACGAGAGCTACCAGGCTTGCATGTGTCCCAAGTCTCTTCAAGATGACACTGGGGCGCAGGTTGTGGAGAACAGCAAAAGGCCTTTGCAGACAAGTCGTTGGTATGAAGCACAACCCTTGACCTTAAGGCAAGCAAAGAACAAAATGAAGAAGGATGATGAAATCTGCTCAAGCACATCGCATCGGGGTTTCCTTCGGCAAAGACTCTGAGACCTGTACTCGGCATGCAACGGCCCTGAACGGGTTACCTGACAAAAATGTGCGGATGCATGTCTTGGCTGATAGGTTAAGAAGCTAAGAAGTTGCTCCGCCCTCGAAGCGCCTCAATCTCAAACTTCTGCTCTTCCTCGCCCACAAAGTAGCGAGAGGTGGCAAATCGTAGCCTGGAACGCGGCCGAAGAAACCATGCAGGTTCATCATGTTTCATCCATATCATCAAGTGCTCGCTTGGGATGTTGAACCACCACTAGCCTTGGCAACTCTGAGATATATTCCTCGAACTCCTGCAAGCAGCCGTGCAATTGGTGATTCCCACGTGGGATTCCCACGTGGATTCCCACCCGCAAATTGCGACCAACTCATGGCCAAACCCCATTCGCTGATCGTGGGATTCGTGGGTCCCACCTCATCCACGATTCGTGGGATTGTTTTTGGGTCGAAGCTTGGCCAGGTCGACTGCCGCTGTGTAGATCTCTTGAACACTTGGGAGGCACTAATTGCAGTCAGCCTTGGGCCCACGCATGAAGGAGATTTAATTCAGAACTAGAGTGAAGGGAAAGGCAGGGAAAGGTGCAAACTGCCCGACTCAGGCAAAACATGTTGCTTATGCCTGCTCATGCCTGTTCAGCTCCCATCACAAGGACTCTACACTGGACACCAGTTTGATCACCTTTGTTCAACTCTAGGAGTGACCACACTGGTAAAATGTTGTAAAAGATTGTCAACTCGTTTATACTCGTTTTAATGGATGTTCAAATATGTTCAATAAAATCGAGTGAATCCAAAGCCGTTGCTTCCAAGGAGCAGCGGTGCCTCCAGCTCCGGCCGGGCTGTGAGAAGCTGCGTCATCACCCTGACCACTTCCTCATCATCGGCCTCATCCTGCAGGGCTTGGAACTCAGCACTGGTTTTAAATAGTTTTTATATGTTCAACAATATGTTGTAATGGCTTTTTGGCTGGGTGCTTCTCAAGTCTTATTACTCATTAGCCTTGCCACGGTTTTCCTCACCTTGAGCCAGTGCAAGGCAAACTGCTCAGACACTTTGACCGTGACATCAGATGTGCACCTCGGGGATGATCGGGGCATAGCTGGTCACTTCGAGACATCAAAGCAACGGGCTTCAAGCAGCCAGGTGCTGCAAAGCATTAATCATTAAGGTAATGACTCGTCCAAGTGATCTACTGCCACTTTGGAGCAGTCAAAGCAATGCGACTTGTTGGCCAAGAGCTGTTCATCTTCCTCAGCGGTGACATGCGGTCAGCAACCCACAAAATACTCAGGCTGGACAGCTGCAATCAGCTGCATCAAGTTCGCGTAAAGTGAGAACTGCGTCCCTAAGGGGCAGGCATTGTTTGCCGCAGGCATCGTGCTGCATGGCAGGCCGCTCTTTCATGTCACTTTTCTCCAGCCGCGATGCTATGGCCAGGCGGTGATAAGCAATGCAATGCACACACATATCAATCCAACTCACTCACATGCGGATGGGAACTGGACCGAAAATTATTCTGATGAGTGGGAAGCAGAATTCAAGATATGCATTGGCCTAAACATAAGCTGCTATCCACAGGTGGTCCTCCTTGATAATACCTAATTGCCTGCGACGGTGCAACTCGATTTCCACCTGAGCGCAACCGGCCATGGAGCAAAACAGAAAATGGGCGGCGAAGTGAACGAGGACCACACGAAACGAAGCAGAAGTCGATCCGTCGAGATCGTAGAGAAGTCCACCTTGTTCATGTACCTGTGTCACTGTGATGTCACTGTGATGTCACTGTGATGTCACTGTGATGTCACTGTGATGTCACTGTGATGTCACTGTGATGTCATTGTGATGCACTTTGCTTTCAGGAGCCGTTGAAACAATCAAGACACATGAAGCATCTAATCGGTGGGCCTCTCTCGGCCACCGAAGCACATCTCATACTGCACATCTCGTGGGATGACTTCAAACAGGGCTGCCTTGTGACACTGCCAACACATCTTAATCACTCTTAATCCCTGTGCGTCGAATCTCATGCAGCCGAATGCTGCTCCAAGGCTTCGACTGTACTTGGCTTCAATTTGGAGGCAATGCTTGGAATTGAATCCCAACCTGGTTTGTCTCAAAGAATTAATTTGCCACATCGCACCGCACCGGAATGAAATGTACCTGTATCTTTAATTGCTCTTGGGATGTGGCTCTGTTCGTAATGATTCCTGGACATGACCTCCATCAACTCAGAGAAAAGAACGCGAAGCTCCAAGATATCGTTGACGAACCTCATCTATTGCTGGTCGGCCGCAGCCAGGCCCCAATGCTGCACAATGCTGTCGCTTAAGCACAGTAGCCGGAAAGTGACACAAATGACATAACTCATTCAGGCGTCGGGACATGTTCTTGTGAGTAGATGTGAGTGCGTATGACGACCACTGCCACTTTGCATCACTTTGCCAGGGCCAGCACCCCACTGGAAGCATGATGATGCCATGATCTTGGCCTGGGAGCTTTACTGCACAACTCTCGAAACGTGGGGCTGCACAATATTGTACAATAACTTTACAACCTTTGCCTTTGATCACAGTCATGGTCACACTGTCCAAGTCCCTCAGTGCCTGCTTCATGCCGCTGGACGATCAAATCGCAGAGGCACCTATGCTGCTTCACTGTACGTTGGCATGGTGCAGTGATGAGTGTCAAATTTCAATTTCAGCTTCCTTATCTTCCTATATCTTCCTTTAGTTTCATTTTTTCTATCATGTTCTCAATTGCTTTCTGACATTTTCTGAATCTGAGGAGTTGGCTGCACAATTTTGGCCAAATATTGGCCCAGCAGCTGGCTTCCAGACATCAGGACCTTGGCTTGGCGGCGCCTGGCGTCTCTGCCGGATCCAAAGGGAACACGGGTGGTGTGGATCTCAGGCCATTGCCATGTGCACATGAGTCTCCAAAGTGATTTGAACCTTGGCACATCTTGGCACATCTTGGCACAATTGAAATGCCACCAATTTCAGGCACCGCTTCGCATCTCGTTTCAAGCACAAGCCATAGCAACGGTGTTATGGCCCTCACTGCCACGTGAGACCATGCGTCACCTTGGCATCAGGAGACGCAAAAGCCATGCAATGCCACCCTCTGAGCTCCTTGTTGTGTCGGTTGCTTCTTGTCAACCCGTGCAATGCCAATCCTTCATAATGTGCATCAGAGAATCCCATTGTTCGCACGAAGATCCACATATTCCTCCAGCAAAGGTCCCCGGTACTGCTGAAGAGCTGCAACCGTGGACAGGACATGACAGGACTGCCAAATGGGTTGACATCCGAAGCTCCGAACCATATCGCACCCTTCTGCCAGATCCGTCCTCGAAGCCTTCACCAAGTTCCCAATGGTTCCAACGAATGCGGACAGAGTTCGGGTCACCTCCGTAAACGGTTAAACTCAATTAAACGCTGACAAGCCCAGCTGTTGCGCACACATCTTTGCCAAAAAGGATTTCTGTTCATCTCCCATTGGTCACCGTGTCAAAACCCACGCTCTGCTGCACAAATGGGAAGTTGCAGTCCAAGGATACCTCACAGTGTTGACAGGGCATGGCACGGCAAAATCAAGCGCTAGAAATCCCGAGGGCACTGGGACTCCAATAACCTTTGTTGGAAGTCTCTCAGCAGCACATGCCTGCTGCAGGTGCCAGCACGCATGATCGTGATCGCATGATCGTATAAAACATTATAAAACCATCATAAAACCCATGCTTCACTGCCTCAGCCAGGAATGCGGTGTCCACCTGGCGTTTGGCTTGCACTCTATACGTTTTACTTTCTGAATCGCCCTAAGATTGGTGAAAACTAGCGAAAGTGGCTTGGTTTTCTGAAGTTTTGACGTTTTTTTTTGGCCTGGTTGGCGAGATTTCCAACCATCACCAGGCCGTCCAGCTGGTGCCGCATGATTGTCTTGATTGCACCCTGCCAGCTTCACATTGTTTCACTTCGTAACCAAAACAGTCAAAGCAAGATAAAGGATGATAAAGGATCAAGAGCAAGGGAAGCACAAGAAGATCGCAGAATTGAAAGGGTCAACTATTATCAACTGCTATTTTCCGACAAGTCCCTAGCAGCATATTTGTAGACGGAAGGTCTGGCAAGACCCAATTGCACCCAGGCCCTCTGCTGCGTCACAAGATTGAGTAAGCACAAGCATGAGCAAGGTGAATATGTCCGCCATGTTGCGCCGTGCTTGCTGATGTGTCCATGTATTCTATGGTCACATTCAAGGCGACCAAACGCAGGTAACTGGCAAACCTACCTTTCTACCATTTCACAGCGAACACATTGCCTAAGGAATCCTAAGGGCTACACACTTTGCATTAGAGCGCTCTAAGCAAAGAGGGCACCCAGTCAGCCAGGAAGTAATAACATGTAATAACCTCCTATTGACTCCCTGGTGATATTCACCTCCAAATGGAATTTCCCTGCCTGCAAATGATCCTTGAAGGCCAGGGTGGATGGATCCCCGAATTGGCACAACAGGTCCTCTAAGAAGGCAACGAAGCTGAAGGATTTTGAAGGAGCATGCTCGAATGGTCTGATTTGATCTGGTTGGTCTGACTCTGCCCTGCAGAATCTTGCCGAGCCCATTTTTCCGCTTGCAGCTCCGAAGCAGTCAGGTCTAAAAGACAGCTGCGTGTCCAAATCAAACAGACCTGGCCCAAGGAGTCTGCAAATACAAAGGTTTCACCCTCTTGCACCTTTTCCTTTTGCTAAATCATTTCATTCTTTTTCAATTTCTCCCAAAGACAATTGATCTGTCCTCAAGAGTTCTTTTTCCCTAAAACTTTCAAGTTTTGCATATCCGACTCCTCTCTTGCATAGAGCATGTTGCCCCCAAGACTCTGCCTATGTTCAATGTGCGAAATTGCGGGGAAACTCTTGGGATCTTTTGGGCCGTGCTGGTTGCACCGCCCTGGTAAAACCACAGCTGATGCGTCAGGTGCCTCTCAGCAGCTGCACATAATTTCACGTACGCCTAAAATATAAAAGACGACTCAAAGACTTCAGGTGACACCACTCTGACGACTCTATGGGGCAATGATTGAGGCCACTCAAGGTCATGGATGGTCATGGCCCATCCAGCATTGGCTTGCCCTTCTGCAAGAACTGGAATACTGCAGTTGCCACCTTCGGAAAACTGCGACTCTCACACTGCACAGAGTCACAGAGCTAGGCTTTTTGTTGTGTCCTGACATGTCCTGACATGTCCTGACATGTCCTGACATGTCCTCGCCATTGGAGAACCAGCCTCAATTCTATGAGGGTTCTTGTCGGGATGCCACTGTCGGAGAAGCTCTCGCCACTCCTTCATTCTGGCTTCCTTTGGCTCCACCGTCCTTGGCGAAACAGCAAGCATCATGTCGAGTTGCCCTTTGGCAAATTTTGGCAATGGATTATTGCCGGATTATATAGATTTAAGGAGGGGTGAGATGAACAGATTGCTTATTTGTCTACACTTATCCCGTGTTCACCTATCGATGCCAACCTCCAACTTACCTTCAAGCTAAGTGCTTGGCTTGAGCTTTAGCAGCTTTTCCAAAGCCTCTGCTTTGGCCTGCTTGGCTTGCCAAGCACTCTGGGTGGGCCATTTGGGCCGTTGCAAGAACACATAAAGCGTACACTGCTGAGTTGCGAATGGACCCGTGACCTTGTCAATGTCTGGATTGTTGCTGACCGGCCTCAGAATCTCTTGAAGATGAAGTCTGGGCAGTTGTTGGAATATCATGACAAAGGCTGATGAAAAATGAAATATGATGAAACATTAGGAGTGCTGCACAGCACACCCGGTAGACAAGACGTCGAACGGAAGTTCCCTGGGTCGTTCGCTTTGACCGTACCTGCTGGGGCACTGGCTCGGTGTGAGCAGGTTCCTCCATAACACAGCCACTGCTGCTTGATTTGCTCTTGCTGCTCTTGATGGAGTCTCCACTGGATGACCTCAGGGCATCCAGTAACATCCAGTAACTGGCTCGGCAAACACCCGCGAATAGGTGGCATAGACTTAGGAATATGATGGAATCGATGGAATATGTATAGGTGCCAGGCTTCTTTCTTTTGTGCTTTTTGGTCTGCGCAAACAACATCATACAATGAGTGTGCTTCCCCCAGATTATCAGCTGCAAGCCCAGCCCACTTAGCCCACTTGGCCCACTTGGCCAATTCATCACGTTGTGGAAATGCTGCTTCAGCTGATGGCAAGGTGACCTTCTTTTTCTTACTGCTGGAGGAGCTGCCAGAGCTACTCTTTCTCCTGGTGCGAAAAAGAATGGAAACGGCCAGCGGCCAAAGTTGGGCTGAGGTTTTGTAAAGACTGGGCAAGCGCTCGGCCACCTCTTCTTGTGCTTCTTTTTTTCTTTCTTTTTGTGTTTTTCTGACCTCTGCCGTTTTGTAAATGTGGGAGGCTTACTCAACACTTGATCTAGGGAATCTAGGGTACCTATTGCACTGAGCTGGAAACGGACTGCTGCTTTCTTCACTTGCAGCTTCTGCTTCTGCCTCTCCTTCTTTTGGCCCTCCTTTTCCAGCAGCCAATGCCTTTGCATGACAGGTGGTTGTCCAGTTCACATAAATCCACTCATCGAACTTGCCGTACCTTCATGAGTCTAACTGCATGCCACATTCCGATTCCTGTCATTTGTATCGATCCATCACAACCTTCCTTTCTGCTGACAAGTCACTTCCCGGATGGCGCGGGCACCAGCATGAGGAGAGAGCCTACATTTTGACGGCAGGTCGTCATTCACACACACGTAAGGAGAATAGAAGCCGGGCTTATGCGGGCTTATAGCACTTGCAGGAGGACTTCAACTGGAGAGGCTAATGCCAGTTCAGATTCAGCCAAGCGCTTTGAGCATCTTGTAGTGATCTATCAGGCCATCTGGGGCCAGTTTGCGATACAACACTGCAACACTGCAAATCAAATGGATTTTGAATCATCCAGGTAATCAATTTATATCAGCTTAATTCAGTTTCATCAATATCGATCAATATCCAAACAACAACCGCAGGAACCCATATCCGTCCTTGAGATGGGTTTTTGAAAACAGCATTGCCAGTTGAACGAATTGATTTGCATCGAAACAGTTGAAATCTAAGCTCTTGGCGTTCGACGTGGCAGAATTGGTGGGCCACCAGGTGGATCTGAAAAGGGTATGCAAACGTGTTCGGACCACCCTTAAAAATATTCAAAAATCACCATGCCATGAGCAGCTTACCAACTACTGGAACGACATATGACCCATGCCCCAGGCCTGCCGTAATTGGCTTTGGCGTCTGGCACTTGAAGCATACGTTCCGCTTCAAGAAATTACGCTCATTGCACGACGGGCAGTTCCTCAGCTCAGGGTCTAGAAATTTCTTGGATCACAACATATCGACATTTCCAGAGTATGCTTGTCTTGGCTCCGCGCCAGTCCCTGCTAGTGTCCTTCAGAAAAGCACGAAAGAATGAACAGGATTTTTTTGACACCGCGACTCGCATGTGTATACCACATACCATAAACCATACACCTACATTACCTTACATTACTTTACATTGCATTGCATAGAATAGAATGGCATTGCGTTACATTAAACTACATTACATTACATTATATGATATTATATGCACAACACAACGCAACATTACATTACATGACATTGAAGTACATTGCATTAGATACATTACACTACATTACACTACATTACATACATAACAAAACAAAACAAAACATAACATGACATAACATGAAATAACCCAACATTACATTTTATACGTAACATTACGGGCAAACCCCTCAGTTTGCCCACGCCGACGCCGACGACATGTCCGAACATCAAAAAACACTGTGTTTTGTTGGACAAAATGCACATGTCCATGATCATGGTTTTCATGTTGCAACGTGCAGCTTAGCTACCTGTGCGTTGAATGTTACTACTACTACTACTACATCATCATCATCATCACCATCATCAAACCCTTATTGAAGATCTTCAATGAATGTAGAAGTCTAACGGGGGTGGGAAAATTAAACCCTTATTGAAGATCTTCAATGAATGTAGAAGTTTGAAGGGGGTGGGAAAATTAAACCCTTATTGAAGATCTTCAATGAATGTAGAAGTTTGAAGGGGGTGGGAGAATTAAACCCTTATTGAAGATCTCCAATGAATGTAGAAGTTTAACGGGGGTTGGAGAATTAAACCCTTATTGAAGATCTTCAATGAATGTAGAAGTTCAACGGGGGTGGGAAAATTAAACCTTTATTGAAGATCTTCAATGAATGCAGAAGTTTGAAGGGGGTGGGAGAATTAAACCCTTATTGAAGATCATCAATGAATGTAGAAGTTTGAAGGGGGTGGGAGAATTAAACCCTTATTGAAGATCTTCAATGAATGTAGAAGATCAACGAATTTATATTCCCAATACCCTTGTTGATCTCGCAATTGAATGTAAAGTTTAACGGGTGTCGGAATTTATATTCCTTCAAAATCCCTAAGAAGTTGTGTGGGCGAACTGGGGGGGTTGCGCGTAGCATTACAATACATTACAATACATTACAATACATTACAATACGTTACAATACATTACAATACATTACGATACATTGCACCACATTACAATACATTACAATCATTACATTACAATACATTACATTACAATGCAATGCAATGCATTACATTACAGCACAATGCAATGCATTACATTACATTACAACACAATACTTTATTACATTACAATACATTACACTACATTACATCACATTACATTACAATGCATCACATTGCATTACAATACATTGCATTACAGTACAATACAATACAATACAATACCTTGCGTTACATTATATACATAACATTACATGACATAACATAACATTAAATTGCAATACGTTACATTACATTACATTACATTGCATTGCATAGCATTGCATTAAATCAAAATACATATTACTATACATTACTATTACATTACATTACATCACAATGCAGTACATTGCATTACAATACATTGCATTACACCACAATACAATACATTACATTACATTACAATACCTTGCATTACATTATAAACATTACACTACATTGCATTACATTACATTACATCACAACGCATTACATTACAATACTACATTGCATTGCATAACATTGCGTTACATTGCGCTACAATCCAATACATTACATTGCATTACATTACATTACATTACAATACATCACATTTCAATACATTACATCACATTACACTACATTACATACATAACGTACATATATATATATATATACATTAGATGTGAGATGTAAAGCATGGATACTAAAACGGTTCACTCTACCCAGGCTCACATCCGCATAGCTTTTTCCTTTCCAGTCTCTTCGTGCGGTCTCAACCTGCTCCTCGCAGGATAGTGCTTTGGAACGCTGTGCAGGTATCCCCCTGCACAGCAGCACTGGTTGGATCCGTACACCCTGTTCCGCACTCCTGTAAACTCAGGAGGCTACACAGGTTGAATCACTCCCGCCCAGTGCTACAGTCGTGGAACTCCACGTAGAGATCAACATCCTCAATGATGCGATCCCCTACAAGGGAGGATACTCCACCGGAGTCCTACCTCATAGGGAGGGAAGGGAGGGAAAAGAAAGAACGATGAAGCCAGTTTGGCTCAGACTTGAGCCAAAATGGATTCATCAGCTTACATACTCACCCTAATGATAATGCACACCCAGTGCCTGCCAAACACGATGCATACATACATTAGATGTGAGATGTAAAGCATGGATACTAAAACGGTTCACTCTACCCAGGCTCACATCCGCATAGCTTTTTCCTTTCCAGTCTCTTCGTGCGGTCTCAACCTGCTCCTCGCAGGATAGTGCTTTGGAACGCTGTGCAGGTATCCCCCTGCACAGCAGCACTGGTTGGATCCGTACACCCTGTTCCGCACTCCTGTAAACTCAGGAGGCTACACGGGTTGAATCACTCCCAATGCACTTCTATCCCAAAGCACTCAGAGAAACTCCACAACCCGGAGAAACGCGGGAAGTGGTAGAGACCAAATCTCGAAGGGGAAAAATGCAAAATGCGTGGTGAACTCATGGCGTTTGTGCCATGTTGCCTGAAGGCCGTCCCTGCTGATCTCGTCTGACCAGTTGGCCTTACTAGGGATCCATTCCCAGAAAAACCAAGCCCTAAGACCAAAAAGGGTAATATGAATCAAACGAGCCATATGCTCTAAATCTGCATTGTCAGAACGACCTCGAATCAAAGCCATGAGCGCCGCTGTGTTGTCAATGAACCAAAGTCCTCTTCTGCCCCGAAACGATGACAGGCGAGAAAACAAAGCATAGAGCACTTGCAGCAGCTCGAGTTGGGCAATCTTCTTGTCGCCAGGCTCCCAAAGGCTGTACACCAACGATGGGATGAGCGAGACAAATGCCTCTCGCTGTTGCCGGCTGTCATCATGCCATACTACCAGAAATCCTCCTGTACCCTGGCCTGGGCTCTCCAGAGCAGCATCAGAAGCTGCTAGAAAACGTAGCCCTGCATGTGGCCAGATTTCGATGTGCATGGAGGGTCTGGTAGTGATGATGGTGCGCAATAGACTGAAGCTTTGGCGCAACTCCTCAGTCAACTCTGCGGAGCGCTCCTGCTGTCTGCGCTTGATAGGGGCCAGGCCTCCGCAGCCAATGCGCCCCCATACTCCGAGCT